GGCCGCCAGTGAGATCGGCTTTTTCCTATGGCAATTTTGGATGTGTTTCTTGCGAGAAATCAGCATCAAATCTTCCTCCGCATGTGCCATCATTGCGCCAGGCTTGTCTCAACCTCAGCGTTTTCTGGCTTATCCGGCAGAGACTATTGCTACCGCCTTTACCTCAATGCCAGGGTTTTAGCCATTGCCTCGACAACGGGGAAAGCCGAGAAAGTGGACGTTTGGTGCGAGGGATATTGTTGTAAATGACAGCTTTGACGTCGAAAAACATGCCCGACATGCTCGGACATGGCGACAGGCTACTTTACGTGCACGAACAAAGTTCGACTTCTCTTGTGGGTGCTGAGTTGACCTTAGTGAGGGTGAAAGTGAATTCAATTTTAAGAGATATATCTTCTGGAAGGCAAGACCAAATGAATTTTAATGACATCCTGAGGCGTACTCGTGTCCCTGTTAGAGGTAAAGCTAAGAGAAATGGTGTGGTATAACTGCGGTCTACTCATTTTATGATGAGAAGCCTCATCTATCAGTCCATAAATAAAACAAAGCGGCCTAGGCTGACCAAGTTCTAATATGTGAACTTTTGTTTTGAGCATGTGGAACCATCTGGTGTTAGAAATCATAGTAAGTTGTATGCAAAGCAAAGCTAGGCTTCGAGGAGTCTCTTGTTTCATAATTGATGAGTTTTCTTTCATTTCGAGTGAAAGAGTTTGTTGCACGCTTTCGTCGTAATTGAAGCAGATTGCCTCGGAAGGAGCGTCAACAAGAATGTTTCAGTGAAGCCAATGGACAGCTGGTCAAGAGGATTCCGCTGATGGTTGCTTTCTGGTCGCATCGAGCTTCGAATCACTTCACCAGACACTTTCACCCGAAATGGAAGTAAGTTCACCATTAGCGAGTTTTGTCTTGTAGACGAGCAGTGGGACGAATCGTTGAGTAGTACACTCACTCACGGACCGGTAGACTGGGCAGAATATAGAGCCTTTTTGGGCCGCTATCAGGGAAAATCAGGGCACGTCTTTTGCTGGTCCCTTCCTCGTGGCAGAAGATAGGAAAATGTACATTTAGGGAAAGTGGACTAACGAAACTATTGGTAACTCTAAAATAACATTTCCATTCACCCAAGATAGCATGAGCCTAAAAAGGAGTGATTAGTGAATATTCTTACAAAAAAATGAATCTCACATTATCTTTGAATTTTAGAACAAGAACTACCTTCTAAGAAGTAAGGCTGGGTGAAATCAAATGTAAACGTGAGGTCTAAACATATGATTGTAGAAAAATTGAGTAGTCGGCGCAGGGAACATATACAGCATGTATGGTTTCAGTATACGTTAAATTACACTCCGACTTCAGAGGTACGGCATTGTGTAGATGGGGCTTGGTGTCAGGATATAACATCGCAAAATATTGTGGGATATCCCTTTGTTTAGTTAAAATGGAATATAAAGGAGCTTTACGGCAGAGTATTCAGGTTTTACTTTTACCAGAACACACGTTGTTGAAGGTATAGAAAGGAGTAATAGTTCAATTTTCACCAAGTAACAATTATATATTCGGCTAAGGTCGTCTAAAGTTATGCACCTTTTTCGTGATTTATGGACAATTTCAACAGGAATTTGCATCGAATATAAGTTCTTCGTCGATTCTATTGTCACCTACAGTTTTTGTATTTGAGTAGGGTTTCGAGACCACCAGTAAATCAGTAATATGAGAGGTATTCGCCCAATTTCATTTAAGGTGATAAATGACTGGTAGTAGAATTTCCCCACAATGATATGAGAAGAGCTGACATTTCCATTGAATTGCCTACAGTTTTGCCTCATTGACGTGTGTTAGGTCCGGCTTACAATTTACCCCTGCTCTGTGATCCACGGACACCCGTGGCCGTCTGGCGAAGTGGTACCATGTCATGTTTAGCTTTCCTGTGTCCCGTTGTGGGTGAATTGGAGCCTACATTTCAAACGGAATGTGTAAGTCTTTCGAGAAGTAAGATCGCCCTAAGCTATTATAAATGAATTTGATTCTTAGTTAAAAACTATGGATTTGTGCGAGACAGATTCTTTTATTGTACGACTTTACTTGGCGCCACGGTAACTTGAAATTGCATCTGGCGAAGGAGAATCCACCTGCGAAACTCTTTATCTCGCTCTTTTACGCTCTCCTCTATTCTCAAATGGGCTAGTTTCAGGTGTCTCTAAAGCTCGGCCTGTTGATGGTGTGCAAACCTTTGGTTTGTATGCAGACCGCTATATTTATATGGAGCTACCACTGTCTGAGAAGTATTTTGGGAAGAAAAGCAAATAGAATATACGAGGAGTAAGTGGATTTCGATGAAGCTCTTTAGATGACAATGTTTTGGAGACACATTCAATGCTTGTGAAGATGCACGAAGAAGCGATTCGTATAAGATGACAGCTAATGCCCGTTTGGCTTCAATACCAAGTTCAGGTTGATGTACTCTACAGTACATCTTTCCTCGTTTCAGACGAAAACCAGCTCATCCTCCGTCCTTCATGTCACTGGGCAGACATCCTCCAAGCTGGAACTCAGTCTTGCAAAAGCATAATTCAAGAAGAGTATCTGGCTCTAACCTACATGCTATAGACGCTTGCAACTAAAAATGAACATAATTGTTAGTCTTGTTAACTCAATGTTAGCTTGAGGCTATTGCAAGCCTGAGCTCCATAGTCATATTAAAGCCAAACGGCTGCAGAACAACGGGACTCAGCCGTAGTCTTCTAGTGAGATGGACCCGCGAAACTGTTCAACAACCACTTTCATACGGATACGTTAGAAGCGAATAGTTCCTACCTCGTTTTGTTGCATAGGCCTTAGAGGTCAGTATATGACATGTATTCATCCTATTTCGTTTTGGGGCAGTTGAATTTTTCCACAATGATTTGGGTCTGGCTGACGTTTCCATTGAATTTCACATTTCCTTGCCTTCCTAAAAGGCATTCTCATCCAGGCAGGGATGGACTGCAGTTTTGAGCTCACCTGGACTGGTCCCGCCGGCAGCCCCAGCGGGACTCGAACCATGACACGTTAACCACTCCGCCACAATACCACGGGTATAGGTGGGTGACAGGACTGATGTGCCCGGCATTTTCTTATATCGCATTCTGTGGTGGAATTGCCGATAACGCAAATTTGTATTTGCTATAACAATCGACTATATTAATTATTTTTCTTTTATAAATAGCCTTTTGAGACTAACAGTAGATTATGTAGATGAGGTGTATTCGCCCTATTTCCTTTGACCCAAGAGCACTTGTGGCAATGTGGCGTAGTGGGGGATGTGGTGTGAATTCACTCTGCACTGTCATGATTCGAGTCCTGCTGGAGGTGTTGTAGGCGAGGTCGGAACTGCAGTCCAGTTTTGGGAAAGCAAGGCTATGTAAAAGTCAATAGAAATGTTGTGTTTACTCATATCATTGTGGTAAAATTCAACTATGAGTCACCTTATCACCATAAACGAAATAGAATGAATAAATTTCATATCTGGAAATCTAACAAATCCTCGGTCTTATGCTGGACGTTATCCCGACGGAAAAAGGTGCCTTCATCAAGGTCGACCTGACAACACGACAACGTCATGAAACAAAGGTGAAGCAAATTATATACAACGAAAGTTGACTGCGACTAAAATAAAGACTACAATCTCTTAATCTTGATACCTTTTGACGGTCCATGTCATGCAGACACGCTCACTCCGACTTTGATTGAATCGGTTTGCTGATTACGTTGCAACACTTTTGCCTTGCAATGTCCTTGCCGGGGCCCTTTTGGGCCTGGCAGACCGGTCCATGGGGCAAAAGGGCAGAGAAGAAGAACCCGCAAATCTGGCGAAAGAGGAGGCTGTTGGTAATGGCAGCAGTTAAAAAAGAGTGGCTGGATGGAACAGATTCAGCGGCATGTCTGTGGCGGGGAACTTGACTGGTCTCCCATCCTCCGGGGTTGTCAAGTGGAGGCGAAGTTGAGAGAGGTCCGGACAAACGCCTGCTCGCCTGCGCCAAAAGTGGCTTTGACTGGCTCTTGAGTGGGTCTGGCAAGGCAGCACTGATAAACGGGACTTGAGATTGGTTGGGCAGGCAGAACAAGTGCGCAGACAGTGTACATGTTCGTGCCTTCTGCTAATCTCCTTTCTCTGGCTTCAAATCCACTAGCGCCCTGTTTACCGGCTTGGATGCAAATGCGTGTTCGGCCAAGGCGAGTTCACTCGGAGAGGTCGTGGGTTGAAGTCCAGACGTGGCCAGACGTCGGGGATCGTCGGTATACAAGCGAAGGCTTGGCTGGCAAAAGGCCAATGCAGGCGAAAGGAGGAGCACTGGGGAGGTAGAAGACTCCTTAGTCTCGATGCAAATCTCAGCAGTATTGACTTGACTTTCATTTCGAGAGTGTTTTTCGCCTGATCTCATCATAAGATGACAACTAACTTGTCGTGATCTGTTGTTTTTTGGTTTTACGTTAACAATTAAGTCGACTCGGTCCATAAGGCGGTATCCAGTATTTCCACTAAATAGCGCTTAGCCTTCATACATACATTCATACACATATGCATACATGCATACATACATACATACATGCATACATACATACATACATACATACATACATACATACATACA